AAATTCAAATATCTAATTAAGGATAATTTATATTAAAAAAGGTTAGGGGCCAAATTGCAGATCAAAACCAAAGTCGGGTCAAACTGCAGATCAAAGGTAAAAAGTTAAGGGCCGAAATGCATCTCAAAGCCAAAGCCAGGGGCCAAAAGATGCATTAACCCTTTAGCTAGAGAGATAACAAGACCATAAAAATTGTTGAATGGAGTGGCATGCATATCGCTAGATTCTAACCATGGCTTCTAACAGCAACTGTTGAAGTCATTAGACCTCGTCAAGATTAGTAAACGTTAAAACATAAAAAAACAAATCATATGTTTTTCACAATAACTAAAATCTGTCAAATCTCAACCATGGCATGCTGTTTTCTAGTATATATATATATATACACACGCACACAACTCTCCTTTTATCTATTAGTTGTCAGCCACCAACTCTCATAAGGTACGTTATCTCTATCCTTTTTCATCTGGCACAAGATTTTGATTTCCAGTGTTTGGTTTGCCAGAAAATCTTTTTATTGCAATGGCTTAGTTTCATATGTTTTTATAGGTGTAAGTAGTCATGGCTGACACCTTGGCTATACCTGTTGAACGACCAGCTAAAATGAGTGAGTCTTCTTCTTCAAGCAGTGCAAGATTTTTCTTCTTCTTTTTGTTTAAAATGATAAATAACTTCAGTGAGTTCGTGTTTTTTGCAGGTCCTGAAAAATCTGATATAGAGAGCTCTGAGGATGAAAGGAAGAAAAGGATTGGATCTTTTAAGAAAATGGCAGTTAGTGCGTCGAGCAGGTTCAGGAATTCTCTTAAAAAGAGAACCAGGAAACACAATAGAGTTATGTCGGCCGGAAGTATAGACGACAACATCGACGTAGAAGAATTACAGGCGGTCGACGCGTTCCGTCAGGCACTTATATTAGATGAACTATTGCCTTCTCAACATGATGATCATCACATAATGCTAAGGTCACACAATCTTTCATTGAATATTCTATATGAATGGTTGTTACATACATATTTCAGCTAATCATTAGGTTGCATTGCAGGTTTTTGAGGGCGAGGAAATTCGATCTCGATAAAGCGAAGCAAATGTGGGCTGATATGATCCAATGGAGGAAGGATTTTGGGGCTGACACAATCATGGAGGTAACCAAAAGCATATCATTGAATCAATCACACTGCTATACATATATATCTGTTGCAACTTTTATGATCTGCAATCTGAACTTGCTCCGTTTGGGTGCGGTTTCGATGTTAAGGACTTTGATTTCAAGGAATACAATGAAGTGATCAAGTACTATCCACAAGGATATCATGGAGTTGATAAAGATGGACGACCTGTTTATATCGAGAGGCTCGGTCAAGTCGATGCTAACAAACTGACTCAAGTCACGACAATAGACCGGTATCTGAAGTACCACGTAAAGGAGTTCGAGAAGACCTTTGCTGTCAAGTTCCCTGCTGCATCCATTGCTGCAAAAAGGCAAATTAATCAAAGCACTACCATATTGGATGTTGAAGGAGTGGTATGTGGACTAAGTCATATATGTGTGTATGTGTGTGTGTGTGTATGAATGTATATCTCCAACTTTTGCTTTGTTGCAGTCCTACTGCCTGTGTGTTACAATAAATTAAAACTTTCAGGGTCTTAAAAGCTTCAACAAGGCTGCAAGGGAGCTCCTACAGCGCCTTCAGAAGATTGACGGTGACAACTATCCCGAGGTAATCTTCTTAATCTCAGTTAGCAACAAAGTTCTTTTTCAGTGAAGGCAACACTAATTCAATGCCTATATATTGCAGACTCTGAACAGAATGTTTATCATCAATGCTGGCTCTGGGTTCAGGCTCCTATGGAGCACGGTCAAATCGTTCCTCGACCCGAAGACCACCTCGAAAATCCATGTAAGTACATAAATCCACCAAATTACTTGAAGCTAGATATAATTATAACGTTGATGAACAAACGAACAACTTTTGTGTTATATTTCATCAGGTTTTGGGTAACAAATACCAGAGCAAATTGCTGGAAGTGATTGATGCTAAGTGAGTCCCTTCTCAACCGATCGAATTCATCATTGTTTCTCGTTACATGCCTTTCTATGTTCAAAACATTCCTTAGCTCGGTTTTTTGTTTTTCGACAGCGAGCTGCCGGAGTTTTTAGGCGGTAGCTGTAACTGTGCAGACAAAGGAGGCTGCATGGTCTCGGACAAGGGTCCATGGAATGATCCTGAAATATTAAAGGTTACTCATTAACAAAAAGATTGATAAGTTTTTAATTTAATAATTTTGATTTGCTTCTTGAAATAATCAAATGGGTGCTTCATTTCAATGATCTTAGAAAGTACAAAATGGCGAGTTCAAGCGCAAAACGAGAAATTTGTCAGGCATTGAGGTAGAATCTGCAATTTTCATACTTAGCAATCCCAAGTCTCAATATCTAGCACCCTGCAAATTGACTGCCTAACTTACTCTTTTTGTTCGATGTTTCCGACACGAAGATGAACAGTTCCATCGAAGCCGAAACGGCTGCAGCCACTGCCGAATGGCATGCAGAGAACACACCACTATCTCCTGTAATTGAAGTAAGTTTTCTCAATATGTAATGCCATGTCAAACAATGCAGAGAAATTAGGAGTTCTGCGATTTTAACACTGCGCTTTATATGCATTGCAGTCTCCCAACAAGAAGTGTCAGGATTCGTTTGCCTATGATAAATGTGTTCCGATCATCGACAAGGGGGTCGATTCTGTTTGGCCTAAATTAGTGGGAGATGAAAAATTTTCCATTTCCAAAGGTTAATTCTTTACGTGAAGATAGTTTGATTAACCATCCTGATATTGTTGTAACAGCGTCACTTTGTTTTTCTGGACAACACTGTGCAGATTGTTACCAAGTGAAAGACGAAGGGAAAGGAATGAGCAGCAACGTTTTCGGAGGATTAATGAGCTTCGTTATAAGTATGGTAGCCATGATTCGCTTGTCTCGCAACATGCCGAGGAAGCTAGGCGAAACTGCGTTGTACAACGGTCAAGTTCACCATGCAAAGCCGATGATCACGGGGCGTACGGCCGATCAGTCGCAACTGCCGCCTATCACGAGCAATGACTACGTTGCCATGGAGAAACGCATGGCTAAATTGGAAGAGGCGATGAGTTTTCTCATGCAGAAACCGGGAACCATGCCGCCCGAGAAAGAGGAGATGCTGAATGATGCATTGAGCAAGGTCTACGCTCTGGAAGTAGAACTATCTGCAGCTAAGAAGGTATATATACATATACATACTTGGCTAAGTTTAAAAACTCAAAAATCTTGAAGAATCCGAACAAGGACGTGGGCATGTTTTCCGTGCTTGGATTTTAATTGCGTGTTCACTTTGGTTGAATATCCAGGCACTTCAGGAAGCCCTTGATAAACAGGAGGAACTTCGAACGTACATTGACAAGAAAAAGAAGAAGAAGAAGAAGCTTGTAAGTTACCAAAGCTTTTATACTCTTCATATTAGTTTTAATCCGTCTGTTATATTTCATGTTCTATTCACGTAAATCACACGCATTTTCTCGAAATCCGAAAATGCGGTGCATGTATACATCACGTCTCTTTTCCTTGGATTATGATTGCAGAACCCCTTCCGTTGGTAAGCTGGACCCTGATGTTGGGAGGCAAATGACAATGTTGATATTCACCCTCAACGTATGAAATCCTTTTGAATATTGATTTTGGCTTGCAAAATAATCTTTGGGTATTATTTTTCTTTAGTTTGTGTCTACATTTTCGAACAATTATTGTCTCAAAACTGGTTTTGTCTGGGCCTGGTTGTAATGTGTTGTTTTAAAGTTCAAAAATGCTGTCTCGTTAGTGTGAAGAACTAACTGATGTAAAAGATTAGGGTGGACTGATCAATGTGCATAGACTCCTCCCCCCTTTTAACTTCAAACGCAAAACCAAATTTGTATTCAATTAACTTCAAAAATGAAGAAGATTTGTTTGTATTCAATTCAATTATGAGCGAATTGTATAATAGAAACGAGGGTAAACACTTTAACGCAGCTTTTGTAGGTGGCATTTATAAATGCAGTAAAAACGGAATTTTTAAAAGTGTTGTACAAAAATATAATTTAAAATCTAAGTGTTTGGGATTTTTAAAAAGTGAGTTTGAAAAGTTAAAAGATTTATTATAGACATTATATTGTAAATTAAAAATATAACAATTAAATTATATTTACAATTATTAATACTATTATATATAAAATATATCAACTTAAACTATAATAAAAAATATTTTAAAATAACTCATTAATAATATTTTTATATATGAAATATTTTATTAAGAAAAAAATTATTATCAATACCTTTTAACATATGGATCATGGATGTTACAAAAAAAAACATTAGTAATTAAAATAAATTATTAAGTAATAAACTATTTTTTAAGGATGTTAGTATTAAATTATTAAAATAAAATGTAAATACATAATTGAGTGCAACCTATGCATTAGTAAAATTATAATTTGCTTTCAAATGCACAGTTTAAACTAAAAAAAGCTAAAAATTCTAACTTTTGCGATTGATTTAAAACCACGGTTTTCATCACAATTTTTTTTCATTTTTTAACCGTTTGACATATTTTATAATTAAAATGAACTTTTTAACTAAAGATGCTTTTAGAAAAGCACGCAAAACGGGCTTAAAGTTTTGTTTGGTTGAATGGAAAAATAGGATATAATAAGAGAACGGAAAAGTGAAAAAACACAAATTTTGAATGTGAAAAAGAAAAGATAAAATAGAAATGATCATTTTCTATCGTTATGTGTAAAAAAAAGAATTCAATTTTATTTATTCTTAAAAGCTTAATTTTATTTCCTCTTATTTTTCAACCGGAAAAGGGAATGTAATTTTCTTTTTGTTTTTCTACCAAGCGTAGCCTAATTAGGATTTATAGACTCACCATGGGAAAAGGAACATCACCGTTCTGAAACAGAGAGAGAAAATCAGCCATAAGAACATAGGAAATACCATAAAAAATTATTACCCAGAAAATCTACAATAAACAAGAGAAATTCCATACCCCAAGTTTGGCTTCTTCTTGACTGTCTATGTAAGCAAGAAGTTCTTCTTGCCTCATCAAAGCCTCGTGAAGAGCCTGTTCGATACATACAGAATGAAAATGAAGATCTCAGAAATAGAGAACAATAATGATAATAATTACAAGTATATTAAAGTAAAAAAAAGGGTAACCTACCACCTATCACTTAGCTTCTTATTTGGTCACCCGACTATTATTTTCTATAAAATCATACCTAACATTATATTTTAGTTTTGTTTTGGTCATCTGTCGTTAAAAAATCAATGGTGATGTTCACATGATATTTTTAATTATTTTTAAATGCTGACATGACATTGTCTTATGATTGACATATCAACATCACCGTTAATTTTTAAACGGTGGATGATCAAAACAGAAACCAAAACATAGTGTTATGTAGTGATAGGTGGGTGACCAAATAGACACTAAAGAAAAGGCTTTGTAAGCATGAAAAAACACGTGATTAATAACTTGATAACAAATACTCTTATAGAAGAAATTGATATTTCTAGCAATATCGTGTAGTCGCATAAAGGCAACGAGTTTGACACCATAAAAAGTAATAAATCCTTACAAAGAAAGTAATAAACCCAACATCAAAAGAAGATTTAACAAACTCTGCACCCATGCAAAATGACAATGGTAGCACTATCAGATGCTTTAATGAAAATGAGTTGACACAATTCATAATTAAAGTACCGAAGTCGAAACATTCATCACTCTAGCTCTATTTGTTTGAATGACCTACTAGATGGAAATGGAATAAGAAGCTCTAACATAAATATGGAAAAAAAATTTGGTGAAAAAAAAAATTAAGATTGCCAACAGTACCTTCTTGGTAGCGATTAGCTCTGCTTCTTCGCCATCAACATGACATACAGCAGCATTCAACAATTCCTCCTTCTCATGAGGCATCTCAGATGGCTTTGCTTGTAATGTATCAACTTTCTCCTCAAGCTCAACCATCTTCTTGAGCACAGAAGATAGTACATCTGCCTGAGAAGGAAGAGTTGGAGATGGGGGAAGCGCTTCCCTTTGAGCTGTGTCAAGGGTAAGTTCGGTACCAGAAAATGTGCCAGGAAGATTTCTGGTTATATTGAAGGCTGCTGAGTGCAGCAGAGTGTAAAATGTCATGAAAAAAGCCATAAGAGTCGGCAAAACCCGAGCTCGAATTCCTTCTGGGTTATGAGGAATTTCAGGCAATGTTAATGCACCTGAATTGGAAAATAGTTCATTTTCTTAATCATGTTACCAACGAGATGAGGAAGCTTTTAAGAAAAAAATATGTAGAATCTAAAAGGGTAACAGTATACAAGATTATATTTGTTAACCTCTGGAACCAGAAGGCATCAGGAGGGAGGTTTGTTTATTCCAACTAGCATCAACAGTTTTGTCAACCATTGGAACATATTCATCATAGCCTGAGAAGTTACCAGCATGGCTTGTTCTCCCAACAACCTTAATCTGCATGAATTACAAAGCCCAAGAAGAGTATTACCAACATTGCGAAAAATGCCCATGATACTAAATTTGGGTGCATAATCTGATTAGATGAATAATGAAGTCATCATGATAATCATTGTTCAAAGCATACTGTTGATTGAAAACGAAACAAAACAAAAAACCTATAAATGCAACTAGCTGACTGAAAGAAAAGAAAGCAAAAACTGTTTAACTTATAACCAGTTTCATACTGATGAACTCAGCATCCACAGCATTTTAATGATCCAAAAGCATAATTCTATATCAACTTCACTTGTATCCAACAGTATATATACTCATAATGAATGTAATCTGAGACATTATAAACAACAAGCAATGTACTTCAATTACATAACCGATATGAAGGATTAGAATGTCAAAATAACCTACTTCATGAACAGGGGTCAGCCTAAGCTGTGAGTAGTTCTTCATTGCTTTTGGGGATGTGATATCTTCAACTTCCGATCCAGATTCAGCCGTGAATGTATCACTACCTTTCAACTGCTTCACACGGCAAAATATGCAATGAGATAATGCAAAAATCTTATCTCAAAAGTCAAAAGCGGAATGTCAAAAATATGTCAGAACAAAAGGATCATTGGAAGTTAGAAAGAAAATATACCACTGGAAGATGTGGCTTAGCATAAGCAATAACTGTCCCATCACTATTTAAAACTTTTACGACTTGTCTAGGATATCGTGCCTCAGAATTAAGAACCATCTGAGAAAAAAAACAATAGTGTGTTTCTTCGTTAGAAAAAAGAAAAGAAAAAACACCGATCAAGCCCTTGAAATTAACAGCACCAACAACATACATAAACTAAGGCCAGGTTATAACCTTCAATATTTCGAGACTTTTCCAAGGCCCTTTATCAGAGCGAAGGCAACCTCCCTGATCTGCACAAGTACAGCTACCGCCCAGAAATTCTGGCAATTCACTGAAAGGAATTTAAATATCATCATAAGCTTTTTGATGGAATGAGGCAAGCAGCGAGTGTTAGATAGTAAAAATAATATATATATATATTAAGCGCAGAGTGATGGAAAAATCGTATTGCAAAATAGAGTAAAATAAAGATAACACTGTAATATAACATGTCATAGAAGTTCTAAGCCCATTTACCTGACATCAATAATCTCGAGCAATTTGCTCTGGCACTTGTTTCCAATAACCTGAAGTCAATGCACACATTACATGCATGTATAATTACAAATCACCAACAAATAAAGGGATTGAGAATTAAAAAGAAAAAAATGTATACTCATTTTCAAAAAGTATAGCAGAATTAGATATTAAATTACATGGATCTTTGAAGTTGTTTTGGGATCCAGAAATGTCTTCACAGTATTCCACAGAAGCCTAAACCCAGGTCCAGCATTGATGATAAACATTTGGTGAAGCGTCTGCAAAAGTAAAAGGACAACATAAAATTTTGGCTTAACATAAAATAATATATAAACTTTTGATAGAAGCATGACTTCGTAATTCCTCATGCCAGCACATTGATATTGCAGACCTCAGGGTAGTTGTCACCATCAATCTTCTGCAACCGCATAATCAGTTCCCTTGCAGATTTGGTAAAATTCTTAAAGCCCTAAGAATGGATGAAAAGAAAAAACAATTATCAGTTAGCAGACAAAATATTTATGTATTAACAATGCAATGAACGATCCCAAAGAACATACCACACCATGGACATCTAAAATTGTGGTGCTTGAATCAATGTGCCTCCTTGCAGCAATTGTACAAGCAGGAAACTTTACACTGAAGGCCTTCTCAAATTCCTGGACATGGTATTTTACATACCGATCCAAGGTTGTAACTTGCATGAGTTTGTTGGGATCAACTTTTCCCAATCTTTCAATATACACAGGCCTTCCCTCCTTGTCAACACCATGATAACCATGAGGGTAATACCTTAAAACCTCATCCAACTCTGTAAACTCAAAATCCTGCAAAAACGGATAAAATTGCAGTGAAAAACATTGATTACAACCAATACTACCTCATCCAAACAATTAAAAACAATTACCTCCCTGATGGTGTCAACACCAAACTCCTTCCTCCATTGGAGCATATCTGCCCACATGTGTTTAGCTTTATCTATATCAAATTTCCTTGCTTTCAAGAACCTATATAAAATTAAACTACAACTGATTATCACATGTTGCATCACTAGAAGTAGGCAAAGCAGCTAAAAGAGAGGATAGCAGCAGAAACAGCACCGAAGCCAAACAAAAATATACATCAGCAAGCGGACAGCAAATAAATTGTGTTCTAAAAGCTAAACAAAGAGCATGATAAATAAACTCAGAATTCTTCTTATGTTTTTCTTAATAAAGCCAATTAGATTCAAGTTAAAATTTTAACAATCAAATAACATTCAGGAATCATTACAGAAATAACAAAATAGCATATATAGAGTGCTTATAGCTAGTTTGTTCACAGCTGATTTGACAATAGAACAAAACCAATAAAACTCGGATCATAGTATCAAAAAGAATAATGATAAACAACTACATGGGAAAATATGAGAAAAAAAGTAAGAGGATAGCACCTCAACATCATGTGATAGTCATCATGCTTTTCAGGAAGCAAATCCTCCATAATCAATGCTTGTCGAAATTGATCGACTACCTGAAGCTCCTCAAAATCACGAATATCCTCGATGGATGAGCTGACACGGCCACCACTTTTCCTTCTACTCCTCCTGAGAGTATGTTTGAATCTAGTAGATGCATTTAGAGCTTTCTTTTTCAAGGATCCCATTTTTGAACGTCTTTCATCCTCTGAGTTCTCCAAATCAGATTTTCTCTCTCTCCTCTCGTCACTACCCGAAATCCCTTCCAAGCCTACCTCATAACATATACCAAAGAATTGCATTTACAAACAAGTATTGTCTTTAGATGAAGAAATAATAAGAAAGAGTTCAAAGCGAAAATCCAATTCTAATTCTTTTTTCATCTCATTTATCTCTGAAAATTCTTCAGAACCCCAGAAACAAAACAAAAAATCATCAATGCATGGTTAAAAATACCAAACTAAGACCAAAAACAAATAAATGAAAATAATGACCAAATTTTCCAATGTTATATCCGAAAACCAAAACAAGAATCGATTCCCTTTCTTCTTCGTCCACACTACCAGGAGTTTGTAAGCAACCAAACTGAACCCGAAACGATACAGCAGAAACAGTAAAATAAGTTCAAGAACCAAAAATTGTTAAACTCACAAGGCCTAGCGAATCGATCGAGTGGATCAGACATCAACGCTCGCGCAAAAAAAGAATCAAGACGGCGGCGGCGCCAGTAATCAGATTTCCCGGTGGAACGACAAAAGTACACGCGCGCCTTATAAATAGAAGTAAAAGGTCAACAAAACAATAAAAAGTCTAAAGAGAAGAGTCCAAATTCGGAGTGCACTTTTACTTTGAATTCAATTTTGTTAGGAATAAAACAAATTTGGAGCACTTACTGAGTAAATAATAATCGTGTCTCTGCGTCACGAGTCACGAAGAAGATCCAACGGTGTAAATTCCTCTGACCAGAAGTTTTTATTTGATAATATAATAGGGGGAAAAAGTATTTTTTGTTGTAAAATTCAACAACGTACGGGGAATCTTTTATGGATTTAATTCCTATATTACATATAAGGGAATAACCCTTTTAACTTAGAGGCGGTTTGTTTTCTCTTAATGGAATTATTCAGCGTTGAATGATGACTCGTTCAGTATTTACCGCGTTTGTTTCGTACCTCTAAATGATTCAGTGCTGACTGATTCAGCACAGAAGTACATTCTGAATGATTCAGCACAGAAGTACATTCTGAATCATTCAGAGCCATTATCAAACAGCATGTCACATTCAGAACTAATTCATACAGAGCCTCTGAATCATTCAGTATTTGAATTATTCAGCGCTTAATCATTCTGAAGTAAACAAACAACCCCTTAGTCTATTTTATTTATGATTTCAAAATTTTAATAATGATTCAACTTAACTTTTATTTAGATTTTAAATTAATTTAAATTTATCATTTTATCCTAATGTTTTAATGTCACCTTATAAGAAAAGTTTGTTAAAGCATATGGATATCCTCATAAATAAGTATAGAATATAGTTAAATTCCAAATTTTATAGGAATTAAAAAATGTGAGCAAAATTGCTTGTGATTATTAATTTAAATTTAAATAAATAAGCAGGAATCAAATGATTGGTTGTTATCCTATAGTTAAATTTAGATTTGTATAGTTAAATTATTTAATAAATAAGTACTAAACAATAATTTAGTGATTAAGGGATGATTGATATCCTTTGATGTTTTAAGTTCGAGTATAATATTTGTAGAGATGTTTGATTGTCAATCGTCAAATGATTGAAAATCGTTTTAGTAGATATTTTCTTATAATCACCCTAAACTTGATATACATTCGTCCCTACGTACCAACTTAAAAAGTAAAATAAATCTACTTTAATTCATTTGATAATATTACTATTGTAATATTTAAAAGATTATATTTTGAAAAATAGTAATAATATTTATAATTTAAATGTTTAAGAGATTATACATAATTTAAATATTATATAAAAACAAAAAGTTTTTTAATAAAAATATTAAATAAATATATAATAGAGTAAAGTACTCAAATCGTCCCCCACTATAGGGTATTGCTTTGTTGAGTCTCTTGACTATTAAAAGTTACAAAATAGCCCTCAACTATAGGATATTGTATTGTTGAGTCCCCTACTATTGAAAGTTACAAAATAATCACTCGATTATTCATATACTCCAAACTCAAAATTTTATGTTAAAATTTTGACGATAAGCTGAGCTAGACATTAACTTGCTGACTGTGATAAAATATAATCTTAAACTCTCAAACGACTATCATATCTCAATCAACATGTTAACTTCAAGCTAAGAATATCATTAATTTTTTAATCAAAATAATGAATTTGTAACATATGAATAGTCGAGTTATCTTTTAATAACTTTCAATAATCGAGAGACTCAATAAATTTATATCCTATAATTAAATATCATTTGCAATTTTTAATAGTGAATAGACTCAATAAAATAATATCACGTAGGTAAGACCATTAAAGTACATTACCCTATCTAATAATGAAGAAAATATACTAAATTAAGAGAAAATAATAGTAAACTATTTTATATTCACTTTTATCTCAGTCGAGAAATCTTGACTTCAACCGGTAGTGCATGACTACAGGAATATGTGTGGCAGTACTGAGTGTGTGTTTACGGTACTATTTATTTATTTGTTTGTTTGTTGAATCATATAAAATTACTAATTTCACAAACCTTCTCTTTCTGACTTTTTCTAATAAGGGTAAAGTATATAAATAGTTTTCAAACTTTTAGAGTGCTTGCATTTTGGTCACCCAACTTTTGAAACTTGCAATACAATCATCGAACTTTTAGTTCGTTTTCATTAAAGTTCATGTCATTACCTCCCGTTAGTTTTTTGCTGACGTGGAATCTCTTTTTCTTCTTCTTCTTCTTCTTCTTCGCTCACTTGTTTCTCAATCTATCATTCCATTAACTCTTTCACCATCTTTATTTCTTCTTCTTCTTCTTCTTTTTCTCTCACACCCCCTTTAACCCCACTTTTTCCTTTGTGATTTCATTTCTTTCTCTCTTATGAATTCATATATATTTTTTCTTTGTGTTTCGGTTCTCTTCCATTTTGAGGTCGATTAATCAATACTAGTACTGTGATTCTATCGGCTTTGTTGCTTCCAATGGAAAAGCTAAAAGGCCTCAAATCTGTCGTCGCTTCTTTTTCTGAGATCAGGTTTCTTTTCTTTTTTCTTTCGGTTTTGACTCAAGTATTTTGTCGTACGAGATTGATTTATGAAGTAACAAAAATTAATACCAAAAAAATCTGCAGTTTCTGATTTGTGTCTTCAATGAAAATGAGAAGAATAAATTCATCAACCTCGTCTCCACTATCTAAGGTACTAATATTCAAATCAATTTTTTTTTTAATTTTTATGTGAGCTTCAGATCCTTATATTTGAAGGTGAATGTCATTTGATTGAAGTGGAGACGATTTTACTGGAATGGAATTGTCGTAATCGTCTTTCGGGTGCGCCCGGAATTGGGCTTCGACTTGGGTTAAATGATTAGAAGTCGCCACCGATCATTTATTTTAAACAAAATAGGATGACCGGATACCTTATTTCTTACCTGATTTGCATCTTACCAGTGATGTATCGGATTCGGGAGTCGGTTACAGTCAAGAAAGGGTTAGTACCCTTGAACTGCCCTTTCGGTACTGTGTAATTTCCAGTTGTCTTAAATTAAGAAAATTATAAGTCTAATTTAAAAGGTAAAATAACGATCCAAATTACTTACCGCTGACAGTTTTAAAAGTGTACCCTTACAAAAGTCATGAAATATGTTAGAGAGAGAGAAATGAAAACAAATACAATTGAGAGAGAAAAAAGGAAATAGGGATTCAACATGAAGATAAAAAATGAAGAAAATAATAAATAAAAAAATGAAGAAAATAATAAATAAAAATATAGATAGAATAGTAAAAATCTATATACAATTAGCAAATAAGAAAGAAAGTAATAAAATGAACATCAAGAAAATATAAAACAAATAAAAATGGAAATAAAGTAGAAAAGGAAAAAAAGAAAAATATACATATATGCAATATAATCAAATAACAAATAACCAAAATATATAGTAATACAAATATCAAAAGTATATATACATAGTGATAAAAATATAGTAATATATAAAATATATAACAGTGATAATATATATATATATAGATTAAAATGACGAAAGAATAAATAATAATAAAAAAAGTAAAAATAATAATAATAATAGATAATAAAAATATATAATTAAATATATATAATAATAAATATATTGTTGGAATTAAAAAATAAGAAATAAAAAATATTAATAATAAAATGAAGCGACCGAATTGAATGAAAAAAATGTTAGTGGCTCAAATTAAAAGGAAAAATAAAAAAATTATAGGCCGAATTAAAATGGATTTAGGGGGGAGAATTGAATATTTAAAAAAGGAACACGCCTCGGGGGTATATCTAGGTTCGAAACTTCGAAACCCCACCCCTTTTTGGTCATCAGCACAACCCACGTTTTGGGTTATTCGAACCAAATCTCAAGAAAAATAACATGCACATGCGAGAAATGAACGAATCAAGGTAAAAAAGATGCTACCTTTTATTTCATTTTCGAATCGTTTACAATAGTTTTGCCTTTGTATTTTTCGTGCTTTCCTCTGTATTTTGTATGTAAATCGTGTCTTACAATAGTGAGTTACAATGGCTATTTATAATGCTTCTGGATCCTATTTTTAGGAGTTTGAATCGTAATATAACTTTATCCTATTTTTAGGAGTTTGAATCCTAGTAAAACTCTATTATATTTTTAGGAGTTTGAATCATAGTAAAACTCTAACGCTGTGTTTGTTTTCTGAATCCCACTAAATTAGGGTTGTTGAGAATATTGTACCCAGACAAAAAGGTGTGTTGACAACTGCCCCTCTTTGCCCATAGTCGTGTAACAGGAATAGGGCAAAGATTAAAAGACACACTTTTCGTTCGGTAGAGTTGAAAACTGACTCTGATGTTTCAATAACTCCATGTCGAATTGAGTTGCAGATGAAGTCGAGTTCATGATATGGAATTGAAGTTGTAGTTCAGAATTTGAATCGGCACGTGGCTTCTCGTTACCCTTCGGTCTTCTTTTTGGATCGGAATCGAACTCAGAAATCTTTGTTGACAGATAGTTTTTCTTGACTTAAGCTATGTTGTTTGAAAATGGTTGCTTGTCACTAAGGCACGGCTAACCCAGGAAAACTTCGATTGCAACCGGAAAGTAGTGTGATTGATTTGTCATCGAGCTGAATGGAATCGAACTCGACAATTTTGTTGGCAAATAGTCCTTCTTGCCTTGAGCTATGCTGCAAATTTGATTTACCTCTGAGTTGAATGTAATCGAACTCGAAGGTCTTTGATGACTGATAACCCTTATTGCCTTGAGTTATACTGCAAATGATGTGCCTTGGAGCTGAGCATAGTCGAACTCGAAGGTCTTTGTTGACAGATAACCCTTCTAGCCTTGAGTTATGCTGCAAATGATGTGCCCTCGAAGCTGAGCATAATTGAACTCCAAGGCTTTGTGTTTCAAGAGAAACATTTTCAAAGTTTTTTTTTTCAAGAGAAACAATTTCGAGGGTTTTTTTTTTGTGTTTCAAGAGAAACTGTCTTAATAGAGACAAAATT